CAGTCATGGGATTGTTGGTGTATGTTTTGACTCCACAGAGTGGGAAGTGACGAAGACAGGATGTTTGTGTTACTGTGTTCTATGAAGTGGGACTATTGTCCTTTGTTCTTTTTCTGCTTTGCTGTCTGATGCTAGAGAGAGAGGGAGGCATGTTGCAGTGCTCCGTGTGTGTTGATATGTAAATAAAGTAGATTAGCCAAAATGCTGAGTTCTGTTATGCAACTGCGCAAAACTTCTGTGGATCCGGTGGTCTGTTGGCATCGGTCGCTGTGATGTCTGGGCTGAAGAAAAGCTTCTGAAGCTCCCGAATGATTGACCAGGAGAGAGAGAACATGCTAGTTGGGCATCGTGTCTCTGTGAAGGTCCTACTCAAGTGTAGACTGAACTCCTGACAAAAGATTGCATTTTAGCCAAGGAAAGAGCAAGGCAGTGCTGTGCTTTTAAGGAAAATATAATGAAAATGATGTACAGATGGTATATAACACCAGTGAAATAGCTAAAATGTTAAAAACAAATAATAAATGTTGGAAATGTAATGGAAAAGAAGGTACTTTTTAACCATATGTGTGGGAATGTTAACGAAAGTTGGAAAGGACTTCTTGGGAAATGATTTATAATGAGATTTTTTAAATGTTGAAATATACAATTTGTAAAAAAAACCCCCCCAAAACAGAAGCCCTTTTACTTGGGTATTGTAGGTACAGAGATTCATGAGCATGATAAAAATTGTTTTTATATGCGACATACCGCAGCAAGAATACTATTAGCCCAATGATGGAAGCAGGAAAAATATCAAACAAGAGTGGCAGATGAAATTGATGGATTATGCTGAGTTGGTGAAATTAAGTGGAAAATTAGGAACCGAGGAGACCAGACTTCCTGAAGGACCGGAAGAAATTAATGATATCTCTGAAAGACAATTGTAATCAACTGACATTGTATAGGGTTACAAGAAGTTTTGTAAGGAGAACTATATGAATGATTGTGAAAGAGGACTAAGAAGGAGGTTTTTAAGATTTGGATTTTATAGCAATAACTATTACTGTAAATTAAAATGCAAAATTAGAAAGGAAGTTAGAAAACCACCAGTCAAGGTTGATGGAAGTCCTAGGCGGTGATAGCCAAAGGTCTGTATGTTTTCTAAGATGGGATGTAATGTTTGGAAGACATATGTAAAAACCAATAAAAATTAGTCATACCTCGGGTTAAATATGCTTCAGGTTGAGCGTTTTCAAGGTTGCGTTCCGTGGCGACCCGGAAGTAATGGAAAGGGTTACTTCCGGGTTTCGCCACTCGGCGCATGGCGCAGACGCTCAAAATGGTGTCACTCGCATGCACAGAAGAGGCAAATCGCGATCCGTGCACATGCAGAATGGGTTGTGTTCTGCTCAGGATGTGAACGGGGCTGCAGAATGGATCCCATTCGCATCCACAGGTAGCACTGTATATTAAAAAAGAAAAAGGAAAGAGCAAGGCAGGGGCCAGGGAGGGAGGAGTGTGGCCTGGGGAGGAATTCCAAGGGCCACACAGAGGAGCCTGGAGGCCACCTTGAGTCCACAAGCCTTTTAGGTGCTTTAATGGGCTTTTAGCAGAAGTCATTCCCTTCCAACAAGGCAGCTGCATGTGTGCGATTGTGGGAGTTTCGCTCCGGTGACCTCCATCCTTGCTTTGCTCAAAGAAGCCGGCAACGAACACAAATGAATTGGTTTGGACTTTCTGTATCGGCTTTCCATGTGGAAATGGCGAGGGAGCTCAGGGACCGAAACAACGGATTAAAACCTGTGCCTGTGGGATGCGCACTGGGGGACGGAGCAGGAAATGGGAGCCCAGGTGCTTTGGAGACCAGCAAATAGAAAGCAAGCGATATCAGCACAGCTACAGCACCCGCTGCCTTGAGGGATATCTTCGGGAGAAGAAAAGACTCGGAGTAAACCTGACACACCAGAATGCAAGAAACCAGCCAGCCACGGCCTGCCACTATCGCCAGTGACACGAGAGTAAGTCTACTGTCTGCTGGCGAGGACCGGAGGCTGTTGCTCTCTCCTTCCTCCACCTCTCCTGAGCCCAGCTCCATCCAGATGGCCCCGTGCACAGTCATCCTTTAATCTCTCCTCCTGGAGAGCTAAGCCTCCTGATTGAGTCAAAACAATCCCTAAATTATCTGCTTATTCCCAGCGCCTTCATTTCCAGGCCTGATCTCAGATCGCTTCCACCCGTCTGTCAGCCAGACTGAGTCTTATCAGCTGCAGCAAAGGAACGGAGGGCTTCCCTCCTTTGTGGACTCCTGGGTTCTTCGGTCTCGATGTTTTCCCCAAACCTTAGGGTGGCAATCATGCAGAAAGACTTCCAGAACAGGAAAATGGTAATGGATCAGGGCAATGACCCATCTTCTCCAGCACCCTGTTTCACAGAGACCAACAGATGCCCAAATGAGAAACCCACAAGCAGGATTCGAACACAAGAGCAACTCTCCTCTCCCAGCAACTGGTATTTGGGAGCTTTGCTGCCTCCAGCTGTGGAGGTGAAACATGGTTATACTGACTAGTAGCCCATCAATAGGCTTCTCCTCCATGTATTTGTCCAATCCTCTTTTAACTCCTCAATGGCAGTGGCTTCAAAGCATCATTGAAGGATGTTTGAAAGTCCTGTTGCAAAAAAAGGTCCCCACCCTGCTCTTGAGAGCCTGAAACTAGAGTTGAAAGTGCAGTGCAGTAGACTGTTTGCAAAAGGGCTTTCAAACAGCCTCATGCTCAGCTGTTCCCAGGAGGGGAAGAGTACAGGGAAGAGATTAGGTTCTCGGTTGGGACAAGAGGTGTGATTAACTTGGCCTGGGAAACCAGGAACTTGTAAATATTTCTTTGTCTACTTGATGGGTGTGAAGGTGGAGGTCAAGGGAAGGATGGAGACCAACCTGATGCTCAGGTTTCTGTCAGCAGACTCTCCCCATTTGTGATGTATTTGTGGATGTATCCATGATGTAATGTAGGGTGTTGGTGGTATCTTTGTAAAACTGATAAAAGTGGGAGCCATCCTTTGTTCTGGTTTCTTCCTGCTTCTCCCACTTGGTGGGGTGGAAAGTCTTGTTGCAACAGTCTCTGCAATAAAGACCCAGGGCTTACGGGCTGCTGTTTTGCCTCCTCTATTCCTGGCTGGTGTCTTTGCTTGGTCATCCAAGTGAGCCCAAGGATTTTCCTGTAACATCTGAACAGACTTAAACCCTTCCTACCAAAGGAGCCCATGGTTAGAGGGACCCTCCCCAAGAAATCCCTTTGATTACACATGAGTGATTATTTGTGCTCACGATGCTCTTTGGGTGCCAGTCTGGAAGGACCAATCCTTAAAGGTAAAGGTAAAGGTACCCCTGCCCGTACGGGACAGTCTTGACAGACTCTAGGGTTGTGCGCCCATCTCACTCAAGAGGCCGGGGGCCAGCGCTGTCCGGAGACACTTCCGGGTCACGTGGCCAGCGTGACATCGCTGCTCTGGCGAGCCAGCGCAGCACACGGAAACGTCGTTTACCTTCCCGCTAGTAAGCGGTCCCTATTTATCTACTTGCACTTTGACGTGCTTTCGAACTGCTAGGTTGGCAGGCGCTGGGACCGAACAACGGGAGCACACCCCGCCGCGGGGACCAATCCTTAGGACACAGCAAAACACAGCAGCAACAAACAAAACCCCACTTAAAAGTAAACAATAACAACATACAAAACAGCAAGGATAAAATAGCAGCAAACTCAGCAGAAGATGTATCCTTCCACCCCAACAGTCTGGCAGAGTTAAAAAATAATAGTGCCCACGGTGTGCTTGAATGGGAGACCTGCCTGGCACTTCCATGCAAGCCGTCTTGAGTTCCATGATGGAAATGTTACGGAAATGGCATGGGGGGGGGGGGGAAACATCTTAAAGTTGCTACAATGTTACAAATATTATGCAATGTATCCTTTCGACTTGACAGCTCAGGGAAGATACAGTGGTACTTCGGGTTACATACGCTTCAGGTTACATGCGCTTCAGGTTACCAGACTCCGCTAACCCAGAAATAGTACCTCGGTTAAGAACCTTGCTTCAGGATGAGAACAGAAATTGTGCTCCTGCAGCGTGCAGCAGCAGGAGGCCCCATTAGCTAAAGTGGTGCTTCAGGTTAAGAACAGTTTCAAGGTTAAGAACGGACCTCCGGAACGAATTAAGTACTTAACCCGAGGTACCACTGTACCTAGCTTTTATACATTTTAGAAAATCCATACTTCAACCGACTCTCCTCATTCCAACGCCATTCCCTTTAACCCTAAAAGAAAGGGGAATTTGGGCTCCACCTCCCCCATGAACCAAGAAGCAGGAAGTCATGTAGACAGCAGGAACAGGGCATCCCACCATAATTCTCCAAGCGTGAGAGCACAGACATGGCCCCCACCCAGAAAGTGACCAGGGGGGCAACACTAGACATCTGCAGAGGCAGTTGAGCAAGTCAGGTGTTCTGAAAGCCCATCTCCAGACAAGTCCTGAGGGCAACAAGATGGAAAGAGTTTTTTTGTTCTTCCGGTGATGGGGACTTATGAGGTGTTGGGAAAGGTGTCTGATAAAGGGACCTCATGTTGAACTTGTGTCACCTGCTTTGTATACTCCTCCCCATTTGTGACATGCTAGTGATGTAGTGATGATGTCTCAGTGATGCTGCTCAAAGTGTATTCTGGGGGAAGAGGGAAGTTTTAGAAGAGGAGGTCACCCCATGCTCGAGGTTCTTACCCCTGTGGGACCTGTTCTGCAACAATACAGATCATGGTCTACTGACTGATGCTTTGCTGGAGCTTCCTTCTTTTACTGACCGCAAGATTGCCAATTCAGAAACAAGATTCACACAAGGCTCCACACACACTCACTCACATCTGGCACCATTGTGGCAGGAAACCTTCTGCCAGCCCACAATTACCCACGGACCTCCCTTTCCCTGAAGTGGTAATCCTGGCTGTGAGGCAGCCAATATATGCCAGGAGGGTCCTTACCTGTGAGAAGTGAAGTTGTCGTATGAGCCCACAGTGTAGTGTCGGAAGAGCCTTTGGTCCTGTCTTCTCGGGTTTCTGGAAGGAAAGAGCAAAGACGTTTCTCAGAGACACTGAAAGTCGGGAAGCACCAATTTCAACCCCTTCCCTACCCTCACCTCCCATGGGATGTGCCCATCTGGAGATTCTAGGTGTAGGGACCGGTGGGGAGATGTGTCTGGAGGGGATGAAACCCCAGGGATGTGGCGAAGGACTGGCAGGGCCACTTCCTTGAGCACCAAACTCCTGTGCTTCTACTACTCGGATGCATGTTGCCATCTCGCCAAAAGCGGGCCAAATTGAGAAGTGGGCACGTGGTGAGCAAGTCTTGCCCTGCACTTAACCCCCCAGCCCCCAGTGTGACAGATCACATCCAGAGAGATCCACATGGACTGGCCTTTAAACCAGCATGATAGCTGCTGCTACCACAATGGTGCCAGGGTAGCTATGGAACAAGAAGAAAAATAGGCGGGGAGGGACAGGGGCCATTGGCAAACTGAATATTAGGTTTGCACCAACAATTTCTACTTTTAATCTCAAAACTCTTTTGAGGTTGCACCTGTTGGTTTTACATGGGGGCTTAATGTATTGTTTTGCATTGCATTTGCTTTTTATTTTCCCCCCTGCACAATGCCATGGTAATTCGGAAGGATAGGTTTATAAACCCTGCAAAGAAATAAGTAAATGGTTAGTATCGGTGGGCTGCCTGGAAGGTTGATTCCCTGAGGAAAGCCACATCAAGTTCTGCCACCAGGGTAAGCCAGAGGGATCTGTCTGCGTGGCTGACCTCAATGGGCGTGGTGTGTGCCCTCCAAGGAAGGAAGTGAGTCTGGCCTGGACCAGGAATGCTGGGAGAATGCTCAGAACCCCTAAGAAGTGGAGTCCCACAAGCCATGAGCTGGAGCTTGAGACAGGCTGCAACCGAGTCTCCGGAGGTTGATGTCTTTAATGTGTAGCCTGCAGACGTGGAACAGGAGAGTTGACCCGGAGCAGGACCTCACCAACAGCCCCCTGACTCCTCTGCACTCTCCAAAAGCTTTACTTTTTCATCTCTTGACCATGCTGAAGCTAAGATGGATCAAGGACCGGTGAGAAAAGCCTCTTAAGTTTCCTCTCTGGCAGGCCAGCTGCCCGGTGTCTCAAATCATCATGGAAAGGCAGGAAGGAGCAGATGTTTGGGAGAAGTGAGGAGGAGGAGGAGAGAGGATTCCTGGCCAGCTTCAGCGATCTCATTTTGGGAGTTGCTTCTCATCCCTCACCTAGCTGATGTGAGGTGGCCTCTTCTGCTCCTGGAAGAAGGATGCTGTTGACCGATGCAGAGTCCAGGCAGGCAGGAAGAGGCTGTTTCTGAAGCCACAACATGGAAGCCTGCTAGATCCCCATTTCCTTCTCCCTGAACTTGTCCATGAAATCCAGTCCACTTGCTCCGTGGGAAGGAGCCATTTTCAAAGGAGAGCTGTTCAGCTTGTGAGAAATGGTTAACGAAGCACAACATGGCTCCAGCCCTCGCCCTGTGCCACAGAGAAACACGGGGCATCGTGGAGCATCGGAGCTCCAAATTCCTTTGGGTGGTGTTTCTGAGGGCAAGAGCTTTCCTGGCAAAGTCTAAACGCAACTCCGGCAAAAGTGACCGGCCCCAGACTGCAAGCAGAGAGGTGCCGTTCCCCCTTGCCACCAGCAGGTGGGGCACTTCCCCTACTCTGGAGAAAGCACCTGGGCTACTGCTTCTGAAGCATTTAACCCGCTTACCCTCAGGTCTCTCATCTCCGCATCTCCGATAATAAGCGGCCCTTTGAGCAAACAGATGTTCCAAATGGAGGCCAGCGCCAGCCAGGCCTGGGAGGGCAGGTGAGGTTAGTCGGCAGCTGGTTCTGAGATGGTATCTACAGTTGTGGCCAAGTGGAAGGGCAGGAATGTGCCAGGTTGCTGCTCAAAGCTGCCCAGGCTGCTGTGCACACTTGGTGGGCACAAAAGACATTGGGGGGAGGGGAGGGGCATTGCCGCCTCCAGCTTCAAGGAGCGACAGATTCCTTCTGCACTGTGCCAAGAAGGATGAAACCTACCACAATCGCATCTCATATGTGGGGCTTGGTTCTATGAGTTCTGTGTAGACTCAAAAAACGCATATACTCAAAAACTTCCACCTTGTGACCATCCTTACTCGAAGCCCAGTAAGCAAGGCAGAAAGCTTAAAAGCTCTTTCTGCACTGAGCAAAACTTGCATGCATTTAATTTCTGCAATTTCCACAGGCTGGCCTTCAACCACGCAAGGTTGAAATTGCACAAGTTAAATGTACATAATACATGGCCGAATTGTACCTGCTCTCCCCCTTCTCCTCCATGCCAGCAAAAAATGTAGCAGGAGGCCCATATTCCACAGCTCTGCGTGCAGAAATATTTTGTGGCCTGGAGGGGGTTTGCAAACTATTTCTGCTCATGGGGTATGTAGTTGTGGCTTACCTACTGAACTACTGTATACCTGAAGGAGGGTCTCCACCCCCATAGTTCTGCCCGGACACTGAGGTCCAGCGCTGAGGGCCTTCTGGTGGTTCCCTTGCTGAGAGAAGTGAGGTTACAGGGAACTAGGCAGAGGGCCTTCTCGGTGGTGGCACCTGCCCTGTGGAACGCCCTTCCAGCAGATATCAAGGCAATAAACAACTATTTTAACTTTTAAAGACAACTGAAGGTGGCCCTGTTTAGGGAAGTTTTTAATGTCTGGTGCTGTATTGTTTTTAATATTCTGTTGGAAGCCGCCCAGAGTGGCTGGGGAAACTCAGCCTGATGGGCGGGTATAAATAAAAATTATTATTATTATAACCCTTGTTGTATCACAGAGGAAATGGCAATTGCTGGACCCCTCAGGAAAATGCAGCCGCCCCACACACAAGGATCCCGCTGTATTTCCCTCAACGCTGCTGCGGTCTTTGTCGCTCTCGGTGGTGCATTCATACATGGTGTCAACAGGCAATCCAGCCTCCCTCAAAGTGCCCAGGTTGCATGCAGGAGCAAACGCCGAGTGCCCAAGTGCTTTGGGGATGGAGTGTGAGGTGCTGTGCAGGTGGAGATCAGGTGGACCAGATCCCAGGGGAAACGGTGAAATTAGTGGAAGCAGCAAGGCCGATTTCCGAAGTTGCAAACGTGCAGTCCGGAGACGCTACTGAGTGCAGAAGGCTGTGGGGACGGGTGTCAGACGTGGTGCCCTCCCCTGTGCTTTGTGAGAGGAGCACTCCAGGGACATCCGACCATGCAGCTCTGCTCCCTTGTGCCTCAAAGGCCTGGACCGTTTACCTGGTCCCGAGAAGGACCTCCTGGTGGGGAGCGGTGGGTCGGGCAGGGCCAAGCCTTCCACGCGGATCCTCTTCCTTCCATGCTTGGCGAATCTCTTGCTTGACTTCGCTGCTGCGACCCTGGAGGAAGCTGACCCTGAGAGCCAAGGAATTGACGACAGAGACCGCCGGTTGGCTGGACGGCTTTGCTTTCTGCATCCGGCACGGGGCAGAATTGGCTATTTTGGCACATTCACATTTTCTTTCATTTTCCTGGCATGTGACCTTTCCCAAACCAAAGGCTGCAGAGTGGGGGAAGGCAAGCCTGGACCAAGAAGGACCATGGTGCCTGCTCCAGCACAACTTAGCAGCAGCAGTGACGCCGAAGGCAGCAACCAGGGCCATCTTTACCCGGGGTGCAAGGGGTGCGGGGCACCCGGGTGCCAAATTCTGGGGGTGCCCGCCACCCACTGCTGAAGCCGCCTAAGCTCTTAACTGTCTACCTGTTATGGAATAATAAATAATTTTGATCAAGCTAGAAAAACAAAATACATATATACCTAGGTATTACCGAAATGTATACCTACTGTTTCACTAAAGGACTTTCAACTTTGTGCACTCATTTACCAGACGCGCCACGCCACCAGCGGCGCTTGTCATTCACAACGGCGGTGCTTCAGACTCAACGACAGCACTTGTCATTCACAACGGTGCCGTGCATGCGAAACAAACTCTTAAATCCAAATATTATGTTACATATTGTATTGAGCTGCTTCTTTTGTTCCTTAATTACTTGAGGGATATCTTGAGTGATTTCTTGAGTGATATCCTGAGTACCTAGCAACTAATCCACACCTAATGACCCACCTAAGTGGTACTCAGGATATCACTCAAGAAATCACTCAAGATATCCCTCAATAATTAAGGAACAAAAGAAGCAGCTCAATACAATATGTAACATAATATTTGGATTTAAGAGTTTGTTTCGCATGCACGGCACCATTGTGAATGACAAGTGCTGTCGTTGAGTCTGAAGCACCGCCGTTGTGAATGACAAGCGCCGCTGGTGGCGTGGCGCGTCTGGTAAATGAGTGCACAAAGTTGAAAGTCCTTTAGTGAAACAGTAGGTATACATTTCGGTAATACCTAGGTATATATGTATTTTGTTTTTCTAGCTTGATCAAAATTATTTATTATTCCATAACAGGTAGACAGTTAAGAGCTTAGGCGGCTTCAGCAGTGGGTGGCGGGCACCCCCCAGAATTTGGCACCCGGGTGCCCCGCACCCCTTGCACCCCGGGTAAAGATGGCCCTGGTTGCTGCCTTCGGCGTCACTGCTGCTGCTAAGTTGTGCTGGAGCAGGCACCATGGTCCTTCTTGGTCCAGGCTTGCCTTCCCCCACTCTGCAGCCTTTGGTTTGGGAAAGGTCACATGCCAGGAAAATGAAAGAAAATGTGAATGTGCCAAAATAGCCAATCTGCCCCGTGCCGGATGCAGAAAGCAAAGCCGTCCAGCCAACCGGCGGTCTCTGTCGTCAATTCCTTGGCTCTCAGGGTCAGCTTCCTCCAGGGTCGCAGCAGCGAAGTCAAGCAAGAGATTCGCCAAGCATGGAAGGAAGAGGATCCGCGTGGAAGGCTTGGCCCTGCCCGACCCACCGCTCCCCACCAGGAGGTCCTTCTCGGGACCAGGTAAACGGTCCAGGCCTTTGAGGCACAAGGGAGCAGAGCTGCATGGTCGGATGTCCCTGGAGTGCTCCTCTCACAAAGCACAGGGGAGGGCACCACGTCTGACACCCGTCCCCACAGCCTTCTGCACTCAGTAGCGTCTCCGGACTGCACGTTTGCAACTTCGGAAATCGGCCTTGCTGCTTCCACTAATTTCACCGTTTCCCCTGGGATCTGGTCCACCTGATCTCCACCTGCACAGCACCTCACACTCCATCCCCAAAGCACTTGGGCACTCGGCGTTTGCTCCTGCATGCAACCTGGGCACTTTGAGGGAGGCTGGATTGCCTGTTGCACACCATGTATGAATGCACCACCGAGAGCGACAAAGACCGCAGCAGCGTTGAGGGAAATACAGCGGGATCCTTGTGTGTGGGGCGGCTGCATTTTCCTGAGGGGTCCAGCAATTGCCATTTCCTCTGTGATACAACAAGGGTTATAATAATAATAATTTCTTATTTATACCCCCCCATCAGGCTGAGTTTCCCAGCCACTCTGGGCGGCTTCCAACAGAATATTAAAAACAATACAGCACCAGACATTAAAAACTTCCCTAAACAGGGCCACCTTCAGTTGTCTTTTAAAAGTAAAAATTGTTTATTGCCTTGATATCTGCTGGAAGGGCGTTCCACAGGGCAGGTGCCACCACCGAGAAGGCCCTCTGCCTAGTTCCCTGTAACCTCACTTCTCTCAGCAAGGGAACCACCAGAAGGCCCTCAGCGCTGGACCTCAGTGTCCGGGCAGAACTATGGGGGTGGAGACCCTCCTTCAGGTATACAGTAGTTCAGTAGGTAAGCCACAACTACATACCCCATGAGCAGAAATAGTTTGCAAACCCCCTCCAGGCCACAAAATATTTCTGCACGCAGAGCTGTGGAATATGGGCCTCCTGCTACATTTTTTGCTGGCATGGAGGAGAAGGGGGAGAGCAGGTACAATTCGGCCATGTATTATGTACATTTAACTTGTGCAATTTCAACCTTGCGTGGTTGAAGGCCAGCCTGTGGAAATTGCAGAAATTAAATGCATGCAAGTTTTGCTCAGTGCAGAAAGAGCTTTTAAGCTTTCTGCCTTGCTTACTGGGCTTCGAGTAAGGATGGTCACAAGGTGGAAGTTTTTGAGTATATGCGTTTTTTGAGTCTACACAGAACTCATAGAACCAAGCCCCACATATGAGATGCGATTGTGGTAGGTTTCATCCTCTCTTGGCACAGTGCAGAAGGAATCTGTCGCTCCTTGAAGCTGGAGGCGGCAATGCCCCTCCCTCCTGCCCCAATGTCTTTTGTGCCCACCAAGTGTGGCACAGCAGCCTGGGCAGCTTTGAGCAGCAACCTGGCACATTCCTGCCCTTCCACTTGGCCACAACTGTAGATACCATCTCAGAACCAGCTGCCGACTAACCTCACCTGCCCTCCCAGGCCTGGCTGGCGCTGGCCTCCATTTGGAACATCTGTTTGCTCAAAGGGCCGCTTATTATCGGAGATGCGGAGATGAGAGACCTGAGGGTAAGCGGTTAAATGCTTCAGAAGCAGTAGCCCAGGTGCTTTCTCCAGAGTAGGGGAAGTGCCCCACCTGCTGGTGGCAAGGGGAACGGCACCCTCCTCTTCTGCAGTCTGGGGCCGGTCACTTTTTGCCGGAGTTGCGTTTAGACTTTGCCAGGAAAGCTCTTGCCCTCAGAAACACACCCCAAAGGAATTGAGCTCCGATGCTCCCACGATGCCCCGTGTTTTCTCTGTGGCACAGAGGGCGAGGGCTGAGCCATGTTGTGCTTCGTTAACCATTTCTCACAAGCTGAAGCAGCTCTCCTTTTGAAAAAATGGCTCCTTCCCACGGAGCAAGTGGACTGGATTTTCATGGACCAAGTTCTATGGGAGAAGGAAATGGGGATCTAGCAGGCTTCCATGTTGTGGCTTTCAGAAACAGCCTCTTCCTGCCTGCCTGGACTCTGCATCGGTCAACAGCAATCCTTCTTCCAGGAGCAGAAGAGGCCACCTCACATCAGCTAGGTGAGGGATGAGAAGCAACTCCCAAAATGAGATCGCTGAAGCTGGCCAGGAATCCTCTCTCCTCCTCCTCCTCACTTCTCCCAAACATCTGCTCCTTCCTGCCTTTCATGATGATTTGAGACACCGGGCAGCTGGCCTGCCAGAGAGGAAACTTAAGAGGCTTTTCACCGGTCCTTGATCCATCTTAGCTTCAGCATGGTCAAGAGATGAAAAAGTAAAGCTTTTGGAGAGTGCAGAGGAGTCAGGGGGCTGTTGGTGAGGTCCTGCTCCGGGTCAACTCTCCTGTTCCACGTCTGCAGGCTACACATTAAAGACATCAACCTCCGGAGACTCGGTTGCAGCCTGTCTCAAGCTCCAGCTCATGGCTTGTGGGACTCCACTTCTTAGGGGTTCTGAGCATTCTCCCAGCATTCCTGGTCCAGGCCAGACTCACTTCCTTCCTTGGAGGGCACACACCACGCCCATTGAGGTCAGCCACGCAGACAGATCCCTCTGGCTTACCCTGGTGGCAGAACTTGATGTGGCTTTCCTCAGGGAATCAACCTTCCAGGCAGCCCACCGATACTAACCATTTACTTATTTCTTTGCAGGGTTTATAAACCTATCCTTCCGAATTACCATGGCATTGTGCAGGGGGAAAATAAAAAGCAAATGCAATGCAAAACATACATTAAGCCCCCATGTAAAACCAACAGGTGCAACCTCAAAAGAGTTTTGAGATTAAAAGTAGAAATTGTTGGTGCAAACCTAATATTCAGTTTGCCAATGGCCCCTGTCCCTCCCCGCCTATTTTTCTTCTTGTTCCATAGCTACCCTGGCACCATTGTGGTAGCAGCAGCTATCATGCTGGTTTAAAGGCCAGTCCATGTGGATCTCTCTGGATGTGATCTGTCACACTGGGGGCTGGGGGGTTAAGTGCAGGGCAAGACTTGCTCACCACGTGCCCACTTCTCAATTTGGCCCGCTTTTGGCGAGATGGCAACATGCATCCGAGTAGTAGAAGCACAGGAGTTTGGTGCTCAAGGAAGTGGCCCTGCCAGTCCTTCGCCACACCCTGGGGTTTCATCCCCTCCAGACACATCTCCCCACCGGTCCCTACACCTAGAATCTCCAGATGGGCACATCCCATGGGAGGTGAGGGTAGGGAAGGGGTTGAAATTGGTGCTTCCCGACTTTCAGTGTCTCTGAGAAACGTCTTTGCTCTTTTCCTTCGCAGAAACCCGAGAAGACAGGACCAAGAGGCTCTTCCGACACTACACTGTGGGCTCATACGACGAACTTCACTTCTCACAGGTAAGGACCTCCTGGCATATATTGGCTGCCTCACAGCCAGGATTACCACTTCAGGGAAAGGGAGGTCCGTGGGGTAATTGTGGGCTGGCAGAGAAGGTTTTCCTGCCACAGATGGTGCCAGATGTGAGTGAGTGTGTGTGGAGCCTTGTGTGAATCTTGTTTCTGAATTGGCAATCTTGCGGTCAGTAAAGAAGGA